CGAGCTGCGCCGAGCCCCACCCTTATTTTGTTTGGCAGAAATCCAGCCCCACCCCCTTTTTTAAACACTGTTTACTCTTTTCTAAAAACTGATTTTGCAGGAACATAAAGAGGAGAATGTCAATGGCAACTTACAGCAGTCATACTTTGCCAAGTCGTGGAGGAGGAGGAGGGGGTCGCTTTTACCGTGGAAGTGCTGGCCTCATGGAGAAGATTCATGAAATGCTAACAGAGAGAGAATGCAGCATTTTCAATGAAGGCCTGGCAGCTTATCACAAAAGAAGAGATGTGAGTAGATTTGTGGAATCCCTGAGCCTGGTACTGAATACAAACGGGAAGAGACAGCTACTAGTGCCAATAAGGAACCAGTTCATAAAACCAAGTGATCTCAGTCATCAAGTTTAATGACCTCTCCATCAAATATGGCATAGCCCTACCACTCAAAGGAAACACGGCTAAGAGTGGGAAGAAAATGTTCAATAAAACCCAGACAGGCCCAAAAGTCCTTGAGATAAAGAGAGATGAGAAAGGAGAATGGGGTTTTAGTATAAGAGGTGGGATTGACCACGGGATGGTATATTTGTGTCCTGGGTTGACCGAGGCTCCAATGCAAAGAAAGCTGGTTTGAAAGTTGGAGACTACATTCACAGAGTCAATGAGGTTGGACTGGAAGGACTTACTTTTGCACAAGCCACTCAAGTATGTGAATAACCTAATTGTAATTGTTATCAATTTCTTCTTATCAATAGATTTTTAGAAATCATAGCAAGATAAGAATGGTGATAATGTCATATGAAAGGATCCCTGGGTTCCAGTTTGCTAATAAATACATCCGTTGGGTCGATCGTGAGGGGAAACCAGTTCTACCACCGACTGAGATTGAGTCCCTTGGGATGACAAGTGGAGGTCATGTTGATCCTAATCAGTACACATCATATGGAAGGATCACTGGGTTACAGTTTGCTGATTTGAATGATCAGCTCAAGCTGAGCAAAGGCCAGCAATTGCAGTTAGCTACTAACAAACAGGGTATGGCTCGTTAGGTGCAACATGGTTGCAAAAAACTGATTTTACAAATAAGCTACATGTAAGACTACATGTAAATAAGCAAAAATAAAGGGAAAAATACAAACATCAATCATCAATATTAATATTAAAATCAAGTCCCAGTCATC